CATCATTGTTTTTCGCATTGTTAACTCATTACGTATGTTATATAATATTCACGCTATTTCACTGTTTGATCAGTTCTCAGGTATACGTTCTTGAACTTGTCAGTACAGTAGATACAGTACTACAACCAGTATACTGTTGTTCGATTTCAAGGGAATTTCACTTAACATCGAGCGGTGACAGAAACATGTCTTGAACTCGTCAGTACAGTAGATATTTTTAAATAGAAGCATGGCCCGCTTGTCCAGCAACAACCAGTATACTGTTGTTCGATTTCAAGGGACGAACGGTGACAGAAACATGTCTTATCACTAGCAGTTTAGACGAAGAAGTCGTCATTATAGTGGCACATTATTGAATGTAGATGAAAATAGTCACAAAAAAGAATGTTGTGGGTCCATCCCATTAATCAAATGATGGCAACATCTTTTCAACGATCTGAAAAAAGAAGAGGAGAAATTTTTCCAGTATTTCCTAATCACGACGTTTCGATTGTTAGTATCTACAATCGTCTTCGGGTGATGACTGGACTGATTCCTCCGAGAGATGACTATTTATAGGTCGTTTGAGTACTTCCACTTTTCCCCGCTTCCCATTTTCCGCTTCACTGGTTCCGTGGGAGATGACCGTTTGGCGGGAGTTGGCTATTTTTCGCGTCGTCGCGTCGTGAACTAGCGTGGCTTGGAATCTCTCCACTTTTTTTTATTTTCTTTTTTCATTTCTTTATTTTTATTTATTCAATTGTTCTATTTTTACTCGTATTTTATTTCACTATTATTTCATTTCAGGTTTATTTTGCTTAATATACTTGTTATTTTTAGCTATTCATTTTTAATTCTTCTGTTTCAGTTGTTTCAGGGATTTCAAATCATTTTATATAGTAGACAATGGAAGTCCGAACTAGTAAAATTCATCATGAAACATTGTCAATTACCTTCAAACAAACGGAGATAGCTTGCCTATCTCTGCAGTGTTGGAATCTTGTAGCAAAATTGTTCTTAAGATCGACCAGAAATTTTACAAACTCTGCAATGTTAAATATAGAAAAGTTTCAGATTTTAGCAAATAAATTTAATTTTTGACCAATGTGCGCTCGCCAATCGTGTCATAAGATTTTATTCGATTTTTTTTTATATTTTTCCGTAATCTGGAAGGTTGAATATGAACAAGTTTCGGAATTTTGTCCACCTAAATCGGTCATATTTTTTGTACAAAAAAAATACTATCCACTAAGAAAGTGTTCGTTGTCTACCTCGGAGGTACATATATCTGTTAAAGAACCATATATCAATTAAAAAACTGTAGTTCGATGTGTGTATACACGCCAACAGCACAGTACATGGTAGCACAGTACAAATCAATAACTAAAAAGAAAGCATAAAAGTGTTCGGTCACAAGGACAAATACAATAATATAATGAGAGAACGCATGAAGCAGGCTCTGATATGAACCGAGAATTTAAGCCCACCGAAATTCACCGTAGTAGCATTCACCAAGAGAACACAGAGGGGCAAACGACCTCTGAAACTTCCGAGATGAAGATACAGCTGTCGGAATCATTAACCTGGGAGCTATATCAGATTCCAGATTGACTTGAAGCCAACATTTAGAAAGAGTGGAAAGAAAGACAAAGTTACTGCTGATGCTGGCCAGGCGGACCTATAGAAAGACATAAGGGTTAAAACCAGACATGATGTATTGGCTATATACAGTGATGGTTTAACCCATGATAACGTATGCATCTATATGGTCTGGTCTGATACAAACTATCTCTATTAACAAAATAAGCAGGGTGCAAAAACTTGCATGTCTGGTAATAATAGGAGGAATGAAAACCACCCCGACAGCTGCATTGGAGGCATTCTTGATTCTTCATCCTTTACATTTTGTTGGGGAAGCAAAAGTGGGCCAATGCAGACTGGAAAACTCACCGACCTACATGGAATGTAGTAACCATATTACATATAACCATATTACAAAACTATGCAATCGATTAGCTTCAGGTTGCTTTGCGGTTCGTGTCGTTGCTAATGAGTTGAATTTGGGTATAGCGAAGAACGTATACTACGCACTAATATAATCTCATCTTCGTTATGGAATCTGCTTCTGGGGCGCTTGTGCTCAGTATTTATTTCAAAGAGTATTCTCTCTCCAAAAAAGGGCAATTAGATACCTATGTTGTTCTGATTACCGTGAATCCTGTTGTCCCTTGTTTATGCAACATGGAGTCCTGACATTGGTTTGTATCTATATTTTGGAAATGGCTTGCCTCATGCACAAGAAATACCAAGCTATAATTACTTCTGAGTCAACCTATAACACTCGCTCCTCTCACTTGATCTCGCTTCCAATTCCCTCCTCAACCTTAATTCGCAACTCTCTAATTTTTTGAGGGCAAGAAAATTTTCAATCACCTTCCCCTAACCTTGCGTGTCATCAAAAGCGAAGTCAAGTTCAGAAAATCTGTAAAAACGCTCATAGTTGGGAGGGCCTACTATACCCTGGAAGAATACTTTCAGGATTTTTTTTGCTGAGATCTCTATCTTTGGCGGCGGTCATATAACGTATGCCTAATTCTTTATATATTAGAGGTAGTCCTTGTAATTTCATGTACAAAATGTAAAAATTTTTTCTTTTTGTTTTTCCGGCATGTTACTTTATTCATTTAATTGGCACTTCGTAGTTTTGTTGTTCAATGTTATTTGGCTTAGTGGTGTAAATCTTATTGCTTTTGTATATGTAATTAATCAATCAATCAATCAATCAATCAAACATTTATTGAATCAGTGTTCATTTACAATCACATTAGGCAAACATCATCATAAAATACTGGCTGATACAACAGGTCAAACTATTATAGAAAAACAAATACAAAGCATAACTTAAATAAAAATAAAATCACTAAGCTACCATCAAATTTTGATTATGACTCAAGGAGAAACTCATCCACAGAGTAGTATGCTTTTTGCAATAGAAAAACCTTAAGCTTCCTTTTAAAGACATTGATGTTTGAGGACTTAATGTCATTACTATTAACTGTATATTTGTGATGTTATCATGGTGACTGTATGCTTTGTCATGAGAATTGTTATTCTTGGACAATAAAGTATATTTTGATTTGATTTTGAAAAAACAGAAATTTCGGAATATTTGCAGGAACGGGCACCAACATTTTCTCTGGCCTCACTGAAATATATGTTCAACACAAACGACGCGCTCAAAGTGAAGAATGAACGGTCATCCTGAAAACATGCTCGGCAGAAACACCTGGTATACAGACGGGTCGGAAACCGAACATGAGCCGGGAGCTGGAATATACTATCCGGGGAGAAATCTTTATCTCAGTTACCCGCTCGATCAGTATAGGTATATCCGTCTTCCGGGCTAAAGTGTATGCAATCATGCAATACACAAGGAGTATTGCATGATTGCATACACTAGGTTGCATGAATGCAACTAGGGGCATTGACGAACCCAGAAGTTACATCTAAACTGGTCTGGGAAAGCAGTGAGGAAACCAGCGAACAGGAATAGATTGTCTATATACTGTATGCCAGGACACTCAGGTATCATGGCAACGAAAAAGTTGACGAGTGTACCAGACATAGATCCACAACTCCATGTATATCCCCTGAACCAGCTGTGGAGAGTATATGAGCTATAGCATGATGATGGCCGAGCACCTTTCTTGTCGACCAGTTTGAATGACCTTGAAATGTATTTCATCAGTTCGGACTTCCATTGTCTAATATAATATAAATTGATTTGAAATCCCTGAAAAAATCTGTAGTTATCACCCGAAGACGATTGTGGATACTAACAATCGAAACGTCGTGACGTAACTTGGTTTGTAATTTTTTTTTCAGGGATTTCAAATCAATTTATATTATATTTGACAATGAAAGTCCGAACTGATGAAATATACCACGAAACATTGTCAACCACCTTCAAACAACCGACCTTGAAATGGTTGAAAATGACTAGAATGAAGCACCATAAGAAAAAGCATGAGATTTTGAACCAGAATCTGTATAGCTCATATACTGTGGAGGTACCAAAACCTTTGGTATGGAACGAGATTGGGAAAGTGGTCTAAAAGAAACATGAAGAATACTGAGAAAACACACGGGAAAACCTTTATAAAGGATCCGTCCGAGAAGAGAACCGAAGAACTGCTTCAACGGAACAGGAATCGGCACTGTCCATTGAAAAGACACCTGAACAAAATAGGGCTGTACAACAGATACCTTAGCTGCAGGCAATGCAACAAAGAGATAGAGACAGCTCGTCATATTTTATGTGAGTGTGAGACTTTGAATTCATGTACGAGCCAAATTGTGTCCAGAAGAATATGAAAAAACTTCCAGCAAGATACCTGTATAGACTACTACAGGAAACAAGATTGTTAGAATCTGTGTCCTAAAAAGATGGGAGGGAAAACGCAATAAGCCCTTGGAGATGCAGTGCAGTGAAGTCAGACAGAAAAGAGAAAAAAAAACAGTGATGTACAGTTACCCACGTTTGGGAAGGTTGCTGTGGGCATCTAGCACAGTATGCCATATGATCCACAGATACAATTCCAGAGCTACACATTCCCTCCTGGATGGCTACAGGAAACCTAAGAGGATCAGGAGAAACTAGGTATATTTCGTAGAGTTTAATAGGTGTGAGCCACAATAAACCTTTGCGAGTTGCAGTGGAAGCTCGTATAGACCCACCTGCCACCTTCGAAACCAATGAGTCATAAGAAAATGAATCTGTTTTCATACGATACATATTTCATATAACACTAGCTCACTGTGTAATACCATCATGAAGAGACAACTTTTATATTTCTGTAAAATAATCTTACAACAGATTCAACATATATTTTAATATTTGTGATTGTGGTTACAATCATTAATCTACAATAGAATAATTATCAGTGAAACACTGATAACGAAATATGAACGACAGGGTGTCACATAAGACCAACTGACGAGAAACAGAAAGAAAATAAGTATTCGAATATTGAATCAATGTATTGAAATTCCTTGTAACAAAACTCTCAGATGTGCATAACCTAAACGTCAAATCAACATTGAATACTTCTGCTTAATAACTAATATTACATAATAGTTTTGGTGAATATTTTTATAAAAATGAAAATTATTGAATCTTATGAGAAGAAATTATAACAGACCACCATACAAAAAATACAACTGCCCTGTACTTAAGTCTAACGTTCAATTTGTACATCGATACAAAATTAATCCAAGAGACTAGAACATAAATCATTTGACTGGTTGTTTGAACCTCTCTAGGCGTTGCTTTCCCTTCTCGCTTGCTGTCGTTGTTCCATTGGCAGAATTACTGAATCTGGCTTTCCTCTTCAACATCTTTTCTTCGTTTTCTAATCCAGACATCACAGTTGACACAGAGCTGCCAAACCTTTGAGCTCTTTGTTTCAGAACATCAACACTAGTATTCTGCAAGAAAAAATATATGAAGTGAATCTCTAATTTACATCCAACAACACAAACACAGTTTTCACAAGGCAGAAATGCAAAACTTATCTGGACCAGCGTTTGCAAATGAACTGTACATTATACTTCATCTCCTGATAACGCTATCTTAGTTGTTCAAAAAATTTAGGCTATCCAAATTCTATACTTACCACGGCAGTTGAAGTAATACTGGTAGCAGAATTATCACTTTTTCCAAATCGTTCAGCTCTGACAAGTTTCTTTGCATCGGCACTCAAAGTGGAGACTCCAAATTTCTTTGCCCTCATTTCCAATCTCTATAAAAAATATATATATTATGTTTCACAGTGACATACTATTAATTATTCAGCTTACATCTTTTGCAGTAAGATTTGATAATTTAATTATCTTCTTTTCCTCCTTGGGAGGGGATTTTTCAGGCTCCGGTTGCTTTTCTGTCGCTTTTATAGGATCAATAACACTATTATGTCTTGTTAGAACGATTTTCTTGGCAGGAACAGGGGTGGATCCCTCTATTTCCGAAGATTCACTTAGTATTCGTTTCACAGATTTCGGACTTACATCAAAGTCATTTTCCAAAATGGATGATTCGTTTTCTTCTGAATGATCATCATCATCATCCTGAAGTCAAGTAAGTTAATTATAACAAAAAAATGCTGAACCAGGTATAATATTGTTTTTAGAAAAAAATGTATTTTGTATTTTATTTTGTTTGTAACCTTGATATACCACTCGACAAACGTTTTAATATCTGTAACGTGAATAATGGTTATGGTTCATTTTTCGAGGAACTCTTTCCCAGAGACAAACCAATCACAATTGACAGTTATGAAATTTGTGTCACTTTTCAACTTCACTCTTGGTTAACTTTTTTATCACTGCTTTTTTAATTTATGACTGCTATATTTCAACAATTTATTCATTATAATCAACCCTTCTGAAATTGAAAATTGCAGTCGAAATTTGGTTTACTCTGTGATCTATGAAATGAACATTCGTCCTTAGGGTTTCCACAAAATTAATGTTGCCTTACTATCCATAAATCAGACATATACTTTGATACAAATATAGTTTCCTTACATTCAATAATTCCTCCTCCAGGTCGTCCACGGATTCTGAACCAATAGTATCATTGGTTTTCACATTTTTTTGTAACCTTTCAATGAGTTCATTCTTGTTTCCAGTCGTACTCAATCCTCGCAACTTCAATTCCTTCTTTAAATCTGGAACCTAAAAACCAACACATAACCTCTAAAATTTACAGTCATTTATGATTTATGCACTGGAACACTGCTCAAAACAATTAACTTGCAATAATTTTTATTTGAAGACTGGTCCATTGTTTTACCTTCAGTTTAGTGAAGTCGGTAGAATTTTGTGACAAAGTTGCATCCGCCATTTCCAAAATAACAACAAAATTCCTATCTATTCCGTAATGTCTGTAGTATATATATGATTATAAATAAAACTTACAACTTACAACATACAGGAAACTACGAAACACGAAACAAACCACTCATGGTGTTTCCATTGGTAAAACTAGTGCTAAGCGACTGCATGATTTATGTTCCGTTGGTAAAGCGAGTGTTAGTTCACACGTTTCATTGGAAAACCAGGTCGATGGTAATTGCACTGAGTGCAACTTTTAGGCACGAGTTCTTCGAGTATTCAGTGAAGAAACAGAAGATTTAATTCTCGGAGTTAGACCTTGACATTTAGTGGCATCTCACTTAAATGATTTTCATTAACTTCAATTTGTCTTAGATACTTGAGAATGTGGTAAAATATTATTATTATTTGAGTAAATTTAGTCGCACATATTTTTCTTTCCAAGTTTTTTGTGCATTCTAAGTTAATATTAAAATCATCTCCAGCAAAGGTAAATTGTCATCGATTGGCATCGATCTAACATCTATCAATTCCATATTAGACGTAAAATTTACATGATGAATAAAAGAAAGCGTAGGTCTACTGTGCCGAAGGGAAGCAAAGACAAAAGAAAACAGATAAATAAAAGAAAACGAAAAATCTGAATTGCAAAGATTTCTAAGATAGTATACTTTCAGAAGCGATTCAGTTTTATCCATTTTTATTCTGTACTGGCAATAATAGCCAGTCTCGATTGGCTTTTGTTTCATCAACGCTTGACATAATATCAAAATCACACAATATGATCATCAAGAATCAGGAAAAGTTGTAGTCCCTTAGATTATCTAGCTAATCTAACAGATTACATCAAAAGGTAGTAGATGAAATTGAGAGAGGAAAAAACACGGTTTACATAAAAGTGACAGCTAGTCTGGATTTAGTGGTTGTGTTATGTAAATACTATGATCAAATGTAGACCAATTGAGAATATTCGAAGCTGCATATTCGAAATGACTTTTATATTCAAACAATCTTCTTTTAACTATCATTGTGAACCAATTATGTGAATGCAATGACTAAACGTAAACTTGATAGTGGTTCCAACTAGATATTAGATTTAACTTGCCGTTGGGACAATTAAAAGCAACCACGGGTGTATCTAGTCAAATAAGAAATCGAGGTCCGCTGAGAGGTCCGGGCATAAATTTCTGAAAGAAAAATAAACTATAACACATCCCTAATCGTTGCTATTTGAATGGTTCAAGAAAAGGTGCTTTTCATTCACATCGACCGTGGTCAAAAATTGTGATTTCATTTAGTTCAGCTTGTTGTGCAATGTACTGACCATAATCGAACATAGGTCTTCCTTTAGCATGGTGACAATGAGGCACTTGATCTGAAGCTAGAAAAAAATACAGTATAGAGTTGAAAATTTCAGTTCTACTAGCTAATTAAATAACTTTAAAAAATACGTTTCAAAATTATCCACGAGCCTGTAGTTTATCAGTTATCTGAAATAATTGTCATAACCGAATCAAATCCTTCGTGGAAATCTATTACAGAAAACTGATATTGTATACACAAATGAAATTTGAAGAGAATTTTAATCTGTTCCGTATTTATCAGTCTTTATCGAGCCATGAATTTTTTTATTTTTCAGTAGACGTTTGGCCAAACTGGATTAAAAAAAAGAGCAATTTCAGTGTTTCGAGGGTATTAGTGCTTGGCTTCTATTCACCCAAGTGGAAAACGGCTACTATCGTGAATGAAATACTTGTCAAAATCTCTGGCAACACTGGTTCAAAATCAATTTGCGATCGAATGAGCTTTTTCAGGTTATGTGTCAAACTGTGGAATATTTGCAAATATTATACCTATTTAAATCAAATAATGTCAAATAAGAATAATCCTTCACCAGGCGACGGACTGAGATCTGTTAGAACTACCACTTTATTCAGAGCTGTTAATTTTGAATTATATGCAAAACCAGTTAAGTTTCTTTTAAAGAATATCCCAAACTACACCTAAATGATTTGATCTCCACAAAAAGTTTGTGGAGATCAAATCGTTTAGGTGTAGTTTGGGAAATTACTATGGATCTTCATCAAGTAACCGCCGAATCAATCAGAAAATTTTAAAGAATATGTCTCGTCACAAATATATTTTTTTCAGAATGCTGTTATTATGGGGATTGGATTGATAGCTATAGCTGGCTGTACCGGATATATAGCTTATATGCGAAGTAAATATGAGGGACAAGGATATTATGGTGCCATTCAGGAAGACGGAACAGAACACTTTATTAAAAAAAGGTCAAAGTGGGATTAATATTGGATAATTTTGCTTATATAATTGTATATAGTAGTTTAGAGATGAATTTTCATTTTGTGGCAATGAAGATTGGCTGTAAATTAATTAGGTCAACAATAAAAAAAATTTAATACACTGACCCCTTACTTGGTGAACAATAAAGTTAAATAGCTAGTCAAATCTGTGTTGATTGTAAGTATGCCAGTGAAAAATTGTAGACATATTTTATGATCACTCAAAACTAAGTAAAATCTATTTTAGTTTCCCTAAATCCATACTTTTCTAATTTATCTAGTAGGATTTTATGGTTAACCAAATCAAATGCCTTACTAAGATCCAAGAAAACACCCAGGGTTCTCTTTCCTTCATCTAGATTATTATATAGTTCATTAAGAAATGTTATTATGGCATGCGTTGTTGACCGCCCTCTTCTAAAGCCAAATTTGTTATCTTTGATACCAAATGATTGATTTCATAATGATAATTTGATTATTGGAGTCCTTGACGGAATGATGCCCTCTTTTCCCTCGAATCTCAAAATCATGCCTGCTTACCGCATAAGGCAGAAATCATAGCTGGTCAAATGCAGAAGTCTACCATTCTTGGCTCACTGCGCTTGCTCGGAACACATGATTCTCGGACCCAATGATCACTTACCCCAAGGAGTGGGGAGTGGTCGTTAGTTGTTAATACTGACATGCCCTCCTGAATGTTTTGGGGGATAAGGTCTGACCAGTGCAAACTTGGAAAAAAATCGACTTCATTCATAACAAGAGATAAGAAGTGACAGCTAGAGCTGTTTTTTAACTCGACCCTGACAATCCCATTTATGGCGACTTTGTAAGGGAAGATGTCATCGACCTTACTTAGGCTTGTCCTTTGACAGTTGACTCCAGCAACATTCGTGGTTCAGCCCAGCACCACTGATGAGACCTATGACGGGCCAAAACAGCGTTCTCTGTTATTGAATCATAAATGTGCTGTGTTCGGGTTCTAGTTTCCAACTAATTGCCATAGGTGGCTATTTGTTTGGAGCAAGTGTTAGGTCACTTATTGAGCAGTTGCTAACTCCTATGGGCAGTTGCTACATTTGAAGTTTTTAGTGTCAATTCTGAATATCTTTTCAACAATCTAGAATCTCGATTTCGGAAATATCTCTTCTGTGGATGTGTGTAATCAATACTCAATTGATGTTGTGTACGTGGTAGTTCAGAGATCCAAATCTTGATAAGTCATAATGCTGAGGTTAGATTAGGGCACTCTCAATAATATTTATAAGAGAATTGAGTAATGTTAACAATACAAATTTATTTTCTTTCATTACAAACCAATGAAAACCAAATTTTGAAAGCAAATCAAAATATCACCTCAAAAATAATGGACAAATGAAACATTTGTTAATTTTTTAAGGAATCATAGTTTTATTATTTTTACTCAAATCTCTGATATAAGTTTGTTTCTCGTATTGAATGAAGCAAAAACTAGCCTCAAATTGTATCTGTCAACTATTCACTTAAAAATATCGACAGATAAACAACGTCTGTCATTTTCTAGATATATCGTATTCATTTTAGAAGAACCATTCGAACACAATTTGTGAAATATTTTTATTAAAAACTGCATAATGTACACATTATGTTCACAATAAAATAGGCTTCAATATTTCATTAAGACTATACATACAAAAAAAAGAAAACTATATACAACCTCAACTGTTAGAATACAAATACAGAATAAAACTAAATTAAGTAATTGTTTCCTTGGAACAGTCTGAGCTATGTCTGACTTCATATATAATAATGGTACATCTAAGGAAAAAGTAATTTATGCATTAAGTGCTATACATATGTTGAATGGAACTGGTTGATATTTGATGAAAACCCATATCAAAACTAACTAATGAGATTTACTTTGGTTTTCACTGTAAAAAGTTTACAAAACCTTGACACGTGTTTCGCTATGATTAGCTTTCTCAAGCAGGATACAATTAAATGTTTTGAATGAAACATCTTATTCCAAAAACATTACTATGATCATGAAAAGAGAAATGAAAATTTCTATGTTTTTTACCACTTTTATTTGTAACTAACGTTACTGCAGTTTTGTCCTATATGGACTATAAGGATAAACTATCCTATACGGATAAACTCAGAGTTTATTGTATAAGTTTGAAAATGTCCGTATAGGACGAAACTGCAGTAACGTTATTTACAAATGAAAGTGGTAAAAAACATAGAAATTTTCATTTCTTTTTGTATTATGATTTACTACCACGTAGTAACGGCTACATCCATCAATTTATTACTATGATCTATGATCCGATCAGATGTTTCTAATCTAGTTTTAACGTTTAAAATCAGGTAAATAAGGTAAAAGAGGGGAAAAATACTTATTCAACAGTAAATGTTTCAATCCAAATCTGTTTGAGAAATCTATTGTATAATGAAACACATGTCGCAGATATGTAAAGCGTTTATACTGAAAATCAAAATGAATCTTGTAAGTTAGTGATTTACCATACATATGTAATCACTTTAACATGATACGTTGCATGATGTTTTGAACATTTCATCTATAGTAATGCAGCCACTAAAGATGACTTTGAAATCAAACGAATCTCAGTTTGATTTGGCAAATTACTAGTAGTCCCGGAAAAACTGAACACGTTTCTCTTTCAACTGTAGTTGGAAACCTATATTACAGTACAATTATGTATCCCATTACTAAACTCGAATAGTTCTGTAAATGAAAAACTTCATATGTGATGTAACAGACTAGAAGCTAAAAAACTAAACAAAGGCAACATTGAAGAAAGAATCGGTCATGACTCCAAGAGAAGAAAGCACATATTTTTCTGTAACGTCAATTTGTAGTAAAAAAACACCAAGGTTTACCGGCATTAGAAACACTTCGTTTGTGTAATTTTTGATCAAAATAATCTCCCAGTAAATAGTTATTAAGAAACAATGAATGTAAATGATTGATGTTGGTTTCAAGTGAAAAAGCCTGAGAAACCTACTATCATTCTGAAACCTTCCTCAAAATAGATATTCAGGTCCAGTTCAAGCCACCTCAATGCAATACTTTAAAAGTTCTCTACCTAGTGTGTTATCAAATAGAAAGCATCAAGTATTTTTTAAGAATATGTAGCACACACATTTCTTACATTAGGCTGAATTATAAGCATTTCAAAATGAAAACAGAATAAAAGAAGATTATCTAGATGAAACATTTGGATAAGTTTTTTTTAAAATAATTTCAGGATATCAATTTAGCAAAATGCAATAATTGTAAGACTTTGCCTATAGGATGTATTTTTCTTCTGATAATAAAGTATATTTGATTTGGACTTTTCCACTTTATTTTGTCAAAAATTCATATAAATTACTGTGATCAATCAAAGTGGTTATTATTCATTATAAGTTACATATAAAATATACATTTCATGTAAAATAACTGATGTCTGAACTTGAAATCACCCCTTATGAATTGTGAGAAAGTTGTATTACTTTAATGAATTAATAACTTCCTCAATAGTTTGAGGGTGATCTCTGGAGATGAATTTTGAGAAATCCAACTTTGTTTTCGTAAATAGATATTAAAGGTTAGCAAATGATAAGCTAATGTAAGTTTTCATTACTACCTTACCAAAACAACAATTTTCAAATAAGACTACTTCTCTGATTGAATTTCTGATATCAAACATGTACAGTTCCACTTAATTTCCATTAAAAATTGTAAGTTTCCATAACTTACTGGTAATGGTAACTGGTCATATTAGTTACTTTGCTCCATATTTTGGTGATAAATCAAAGTGGTGATTAGTTATTATGAGTTACATATGAAATATATATTTCATAAAAAATTAATGATATCTGAACTTGAAATCACCCTGTATGAATGGTGAGAAAGTTGTATTACTTCAATAAATAAATAACTTCCTCAATAGTTTGAGGGTGATCTCTAGAGATGAATTTTGAGACATACAACTTCGTTTTCAACTGATAAGTTAATGTAAGTTTTCATTACTACCTTACCAAAAAAACAATTTCCAAATATGACTGCTTTTCTGGGTAAATTCCTGATATCAAATATGTACAGTTCCACCTGATTTCTATCAAAAACTGTATCGTAACCTACTGGTAATGGTAACTTTTCATATTAGTTACTTTACCCCATATTTAGGAAATTTCCAAATATGACTACCTTTCTGAGTTAATTTCTGATATGAAACATGTACATTTCCACTTAATTTTGATCAAGAATAATGTAAATTACCATTAATTTTGTCAATATTTTTGCGAGTGCTTTCGCGAAATGAATTTTTGCTATTTTACTTTTTTTCGAGAGTACATATTGCAGATAAGCAACTGATGAGTTTCTGTAATTCATCATTGCTACCTGACCAAAAATTTATTTGGTATTTAAACATCATAATATGAAAAGTATTGTCAAATAACAAAAAAATTAGATTAGAATGAATTTTTCACAAAACTAAAAAATAATGACTGTTTTATATGTTAGGTATCAGAAATTTCAATAAAATAACCTTGTTGAACGGATTTCCAAAATATTTCAAATATTTGATTGATTATTTATGTTTGTAATATTAACAATTATTCACATTATTCTAGCTCGAGCTATCATCGCATTAGAAATTTAGAGATAACTATATCTCACTAGTGGATAAAACGATGGAATATAAATAATTGTTCCACTGAGATACCAAAAATTAACTAATATCAAATATGAAAAATTATGTTGGTCCACTATGTATAACTTTCAAATATTGAATACGAACTCAAGTGATAATTAAATGCCGAGAGACACCAAGCTCAAGAACTATAGTTGTTATCTATTTTTTTTTCATTTGTTCCTAAGATTTTCAATCTTCAACTGAATGAAATAGAAATTGTTAATTATTCACTAAAAAATATAAGAATTATATTTTCCGAACGTATTTCTCAGTAAATTTTCTTGACTTTTTCCAGTGGAAAAGCAAAAGCGCTTTCTAAATGCTCTAATAAAAACATCGACGCAAAAAATCTTCGCCACATTACAGTTGTCTTTGAAAACTTGGTCCTATCCACCCATGTTGCATACAATGAATATTGAAAAACCATACATTTAAAACTTAAATTAAATGGAGTAACACTCACTTGCTAACCCATGTCCACTAAAAATGCACAATTGTGAATCTCATTGACTTAACACAAATAATAATGCACTTGAAAACTACTTGTAGTTTCTCAACTGTCGTTAGTGGTAATTCTGGTAGTTGAAGTTTTCTGTACTGGTGTAAGTTGTCGAAGTATGACCGACACTCGAGTAAATCACTACCCCATCCTGATAAGAATTTCCGGCACTCTCTCCCTGCTTCTCCAACTCACTTTCGCAATGGGAAATCGTGAAACTTCCCACTTCTGATTTCAGTTTGATTTCGTCCCCGTTGGTGGTTTGTATGACGGAAGGCAGGTTGACCAGGCCTGCTCCATGTAGTTCTGCCAGCTTGGAAGCGTCAATGATGAGAGGTTGAACGCCTTCGTCGCCAGGGATTTTGATGTTGCCCATTATGCCCATGAGGATTCGTTGTGGTTCCGTATGGATACTGTGATGTATTTCATCTATTGACACGTCTTCCGTAGTGGAGGTTTGAGTTTGGGGCTGGATGATGTTTTGAGGCTCAGGAATTTCCTCCTTTTTAAGTGCTCTGAAAGTAAAGGGTGTTCCTTACAATACAAAATGAAAAATGGATTTTTTTTGTGGTTTTCAAGGAATTTCTTAATTTGTGGAGTGTATAATCGAACCTTCAACCCTCACCATTAATAAATCTCCTAGGGAAGGAGTATTTCCTATGAAATTGAAATCATGTTGGTTTATTTTGAAAAAGGATGATCCAGCTAATATTGCTAATTGCAGACCAATCACTGTTTTATCAGTAATCACAAAAATACATATGTGATTTAAAATCAATTAATATCATTTTTAGATACAAATTATGGATAGTCAGCAAGGTTTTCATTGCCAAAATTTTCTGTAATGAACATATAGATTTATTTATTTTATTTATTTATATTATAATTTCATTATAAAATATCAAGACTTGGCAGGAAAATATTTACGTTGATGTTAGAGAATATTAACTGGCAAATACGAATTTCTAAATTTGTCCCACCAACGATTTTTGCTGCGTATCATTCACCATTTGTTTACTGTTATGAAGCACTTACTGTCAAAACAATTAGTGTTGGCCCAATTACTATTTATTTATAATTGAGAATTTGAAGAAAATGACAATTTCCCTCATATTTTATCAGTATTCTCATGTCAACACTTAGATAATCTGTAGACAAGCAAAAAATATGTGAATCAGAATACAGTTCATATCTGGTGAGCCAATCGATATGTCAACATCATCAGCGACTTCTTTGATTGTGATTCGGCGATAGTTCATAACCATTTCTTGTTGTTTTATCAGTTGCTGATGTGCTGGGGTGTCCAGGGCCTTCACCATCTTCAACGAAAGCAAGACCACTTTTGAAACGCTAATACCATTCGTAAACTCTTGTTTTACTCATAGCAGTCTAACCATATGTCTTTGTGAACATTTTACATACGTTACCTATTTCATTTTTTACGCTAAATTTTATACAAATTCTTTGAATCATTTCAAATGACATACAAAAATGGCCAAGCTTTTGAAACATTTCAAACCTTAGAAGCTGGCATAAACAGAGAAAAGTAAACAATTTATATAGCTGAAAATCTCATCATACTTCAGGGGCATATATATAGTGTGACCCATTTTTAAAGGAAACACCCCCTAAAATTTGAAGTTGTAAACCGATTTTAATATTTATTTTTTGAAATGTTAAGTACTAAAAGGTCTACCTTGGGACAAAATTTCAAATGTTTATTGAAGTTTCAGGTCATTTCTTAGTCGAAAATCGGGATTTTTTATTAGCGATTTTTTGATTGAAAAAATCACTACGCCACTGGATTCAGAGTGCCTCTGAAAAAATCACTACGCCACTGGATTCAGAGTGCCTCTAAACAGGTGTGACCAAAATTTCATGAAAAAATATTCATTATTAACAAAGTTATGACAACTCAAAAATTCGAAAACTCACACAGCTAACAGTTACAAAAAACACCCTACATCAATAGATATAGCCATGAGAATATTTTTTTTATGATTTCAACAATAAAGTGCCGCCAGATGAAAAAAGAAAACAAATAGCGTAAATATTTTTAATGAAAATAACGGAATTACATTCAAGTTTTCACGCAAATTAACTAAAACTAAGACCTAATATTTCAATTCAAATCTTAGTTGCCATGGAAATGATATTACAGTTTGACACTTGT